TCTTTCCCTCTCTGGTCAAATTAAAACAAATAAACAAATAAATAAAGTTAAATAAAAAATAATTCTTTAAAAAAATAGAAAGAACACTGGTTTAAGTAAAGCCTAAGGCACCACGCCCAGTGGGTTTGCTATAAGTCGTATTCTACTGTGAGGTAGCTTTGAGTACAGTACCATGTTCACTCTGCCCACCTTTCCTGGACGCCTACTATGTGTCAGGCTCTAAATGGTAGCAGGGGAGGCCTGGGAAGAAACAGAAAATTCATCCAGAAAAACACCTTCCTTAAAGCAACCCTCACCTCCCATCCCTCCCCTCCCCCTTGAATTAGCCTTTCCTATACTGTGCTTTAGGCACCAGTGAAAGAAGGCCCACTGGATCCAGGACTCTGTGGGAGACTTGGAAAGCTTCTCCCTTTGGAGCAGAAGCCATCAGGAGCCTGCAAGGCTCTCCAGAATCATCTCAGTCACTCCTTGTATATGATGTTTACATTTGAAGAGCACAGATTGGAAGGTAATTAGCCTTATTTCCAAGGCTACTTAGTGAGTAGTGAATGACACAGTAGTTTTCTCAAAGTTGGGCCCAGGGCATAGGGGATGATAATTATCCAGACGAATCTCTCATTTAACTAGAGCAGTTAGAGGAATTATAAAAAGCCTTCCCTTATGATTAGGTTCATGTAAGGAACACAACTAATTTGAATGTGCCATTCTTTGAAATTCTCCTACATTCCTGGGCTGACCTAGAATTAGGGTCCTCCCCCCTCCCCCATGGGAATGAGAATAGGGCTTATTTGGATTCAAAGACCACAGGTCGATCAACTAAAACTAGTTCCTTTCGAAGGCCTGTGGCATTACCCCATTGCTTTGCAATCTAGCTTGAAATAGAAACTGCATTTAACTTGATAATTGATGCTCCTTCAGGATTTTAACCTGATGCTAAATGTACGCATCCATGTGCCCCATTGCCAGCTCTTAGCCTCACATATCATTAATGAAATGTCTGTACTTCTCTAAAGGAGAGGATATAGCATTCACACACAGTCATGTATTCAGTCAACAAGCCATGCATGGGGCATTCACTAGGGAAAAAAGCAGCCCACCAGCATGTTTCCAGACTAAGAAAACCCTTAGGGCTCATGTACTGAGTTCATTTTTTTTTTCTCTAAGCAAATGACCAAGCTTATTTAGATCCTGCACTAAAGGCAAATCACACTGTCAAAATATATATATATGCTGATTATAAAAGAAGGAATTCAGCCATAAAATAAAAGATTACAGCCTTAACAATATCATCACCTAAAGGTGTTCTTCAGTGAAAGAAAAACAACCTCAATTAGGCAACCATCTTCAGATTCTGGGATGCACTTGGCTTCATATCCTTTACTCTCTGCATGTTTATTAAAGGAGAAATATATCCCTTAACATTTGACATCTCCCGAGCATAATAATTCAGTGACACCACTAAGAGAAAGGGCGCTATCAGATAACAAGGCTCTTTTTTTATGACCAGTTCTTCCCCTAGTTCAGTGAGAATGTATTAAGATGCAGATTCCAGAGGGAAGGAGGCTTTCCCCTAAAGCAAAAGCAAGTCTGCACTCAAAGCTGATTTTCCAATCTGATTGAGAGTTGGTTGGGAGAAGCATGGCTCGGGGAGGTGTGAGCAGGTTTACTCTAGTGTGTGGATGGCTGATGCTCTCTGAACATACACAATGGGATCTAGACATCTCTGGAAACTATTCCTGCTCCTTAATACTACTCGTGCACCTCTGGTACGCCAGATGGTACACCAGTTCTGGAGGCGT